CCATAAACGTGATTCAAATCCATCATCATCAACATCATCATCATAGCTAAAATATAACAAGAGAAATAGAAATAAAATCAGCTTTATGTCATTTTATTTATGCAGAAGCATTATTACATCTAACGAAACAAGTGCATCCTCTCTTTGACCGAAACAAAGAGTTATGAAAACAAGCCCTCCAAATTCTTGAAAAAAAAAGGACCTAGTAAACATATAATAAGCAAAAACGAACACAAAACAACCAAATATAAAAACTAAGCAATTAAATAATCAAGGTTGGAGAGTGCGGGGGCATTTGTGGGAACCTGCTGAAGAAATCCGGCGGCCTGCTCCTTGCTCTCCTGGGCTGACTGGGCCGCACCTGACCTGTGGGCCTGAAGGCTGTCAGCTGAACCCACCAGCTGGTCGGCCTGAGCCTGTACCCAAAAACAATAGTGATAAAATTAAAAAGCCAGATTCTAACAAGCCACCATAACGAAAAAGGGCCAGAAGGGGTTTTTTTTGGGTCCAGATATTAGTCCCTTAAGTCAGTTTTCAAATGAGACCCTCGAACCAATGAAATTCCTGTGGGGCCTCTGGAACATATTTAAACTCATCTCTCCATTCAGGATATAAAAAGAAAAATGATTTAAGGACCCAAAATATGGGATCAAGGGAAGGGACAGATGATGTGTCCCCTCCCTGTTGCATAATGAGTTGGCATGACCAACTCATTATGCAATAGGGAGGGGACACGTCACCTGTCCCATCCCTTGGTCCCATATTTTAGGTCCCCGTAGCAGCACTCTAATAAAAATTGTGAGACCTAACAGCAATTTTCAAATGATTCGACAGGGTCATTTTGAAATATTGAAGAATTAAGGGGCTAATATTAAAAAAAACTACAGAAATTGACTTCCGCGAAAAGAAAATCGGAGAAGCTCACCGCACCAACTCCTCGTGCATGGCCGGCATTGAATTGGTTCTGAGTGTTCGACATTTTTTGTTTTTGAGAAAATAAAAGAGAGAGAGAGAGAGAGAGAGATTATGGATTCAATCGTATTGGCGAATATGACTCTGAGTATTTGCTTCCTTATATAGAGGCGTAGACCCCTACACTAGAATGACACGTGGCGTACTATTATAAGAAGTGACACGTGTCGTAGCTTTGTGGGCTGAGACCCGGTAATTTTGCTTTGACAAGGTAAATGATCTGTTATTAACCACTCACTCGTAGTCAGGATCAAGGGCATGACGAATGTGCGTATCATCAAACATTAAAATTATTGATGAGTTCGTTGATCAACATGTACTCTGTTTTGGTTTGGGCATGAATTAATGAAATTGAACACCAAGGCTCGTCTGTTTTGATTTTTTTGAAGAGGAATGTGACAGCTGACAAAAACTGACAGTTTTAATAGGCTTTCCTCTTAAAAAAAATCAAAACAAACGGACCCCAAGCTTCCGTAGCACCCGTAAAGAGTGAAAACTACATAAAACCAAGTGCAAATGTTCAAATAAATAACCACTTATTAGCGATAAATCGCAAAAGTGTATTACATTATTGTCAATTAACATCATAGCAAACTTTATCATGTCCTGTTCGTAACTCATATTTGTGTTCGGGGCTTCACATGCAGTCATAGGAGTGTGATCGCGTGTTGTTGCACACAAAAAGTGGAATCATAAATTTCTAAGACGGTTAAAAGTAGCAATTCTAATAAAATTAGACAAGAATTGTTGTTTCTTAAATAAAATGAACTAGTGTGCACCCCGTCCAAAGCACGACCTCCATTTTTTATTTCTGCTACAGTAATTCTGTATTTAAATAGAGTTTTTGTAAGTGCTATAGTAACATTTTAAAATGCTACAGTTTCCCGCCTGAAAATGATGCTACAGTAATGTTTTAAACCCTACAGTTCCCGACTGTACTACAATAATAATGCTACAGTAATTTATTATAACATGGATATTGAATCTTTCTTTTTGTGCTACAGTAATGATAATACAGTAATTTGTTGTGACATAAATAGTGAATCTTGGATCCTTCCGTTATTACAGAGGAATAGATACAAAGGAGGCACTTGTGTAGATAGGACAAGCCGACAAGGATATATATATTTTGTAAGTCATAGAACATGGTAAGCTTATTTCAAGTTCAACCAACCAGTTGCTAAAAGCTAGTCCTTCAAGAGGGAGAGGGAAATGGGGTGGGTTTTGAAATACATGGGCCGATTACGGCTAAATATAACTGGGCTTTTAAAGGTATTACTCCCATGCGAGCACTTAGTGGGCTATTGACTCGTAGAACTGGTTTTTACAGTCCTGAATTTCATCGGAGCGCTTAAAAATATCTTCTTATAACTTTTCCGCGTTAATGACAAAATAATCCTTACTTTTGTCATAAGATAAAATAATCCTGAATTTAATCAAAATATCTAGGCTCAGCACACTAGTAATTACAAGGGTGACACTAGAGTTCAAATCAAAAGTCACTCCTAGAGTCCAAATCAAAATAATCATTACTTTTGTCGAAGATGACTCGCTACGAACCCATTCGACCAGTTATTCGACGCCTCACGAGGTCGACTCAAAAGCCGTTACTTATCGGACAAGCTAAAGGACGACTTCAACCTCGAGCCTCTCCCGCTGACAATGCGTCAGCGTCACATTTAATGCTTGGCAGACGACATCATACCTCTACCCCCGATAGTCTTCATGACACATCAGGTCACGTAGACACCATCATGCCCCCGATCAATTCACATTAAATGCTGAGGTGATCTCTCTTTCACTCGCCGACCGTCACCTGTAAAGTAGGTGCTGACGTAGCAGCTAAGCCATACTTATTTACCGCTACCATGTGCTCGGCCGAGATTACTATTCTACCCCTTACACCACTAGTATAAATAGATGTATTGTTCTAACATAAAGAGGATCTCTCTGATCTAATCTTTTAATCAACATCTGAAAACTATACCGCACTACACTTAAGAACTCATGCAGTACTTCATTCCCCCACTCAAGTTCATCAATTGACTTGATCGTCGGAGGAACCACGGGGAAACTGATCTCCATCCTCTCACAAACTGTTTATTTATGCAGATTTCAACTACTCAAATAAAAACCAGATATTCAGAGAAGTGAGCGGCCCCTCATCAACCTCACCCTCACTATATATTTGACTGTTTAATTATTTACCATCAACAATATCCGTATCTAAAATGGGTAAGCGGATATGGTTATGGTAAGCGTTATATTCGAGCCGTACCCGGACCGAATGCACCCTTAATCAAAAAAAGGTTTTTTGTAAGAAGCCAAAGCTCTAATCTAGAAATCAGAAGTTTTGAGGTTTATTATCCAATTAATGAAATGACTCTCTTAGTTACGCTGCACCCCGACCCGAGTCCCCACGTCCGCTTTTATCCGTCCGCAACCCGCTTTCTTTGCCAACACAACTTTAGGGTTCTCCCCTTCATTCTATGCTGACCCCGGATTCGAGCCGTACCCGGACCGAATGCACCCTTAATCAAAAAAAGGTTTTTTGTAAGAAGCCAAAGCTCTAATCTAGAAATCAGAAGTTTTGAGGTTTATTATCCAATTAATGAAATGACTCTCTTAGTTACGCTGCACCCCGACCCGAGTCCCCACGTCCGCTTTTATCCGTCCGCAACCCGCTTTCTTTGCCAACACAACTTTAGGGTTCTCCCCTTCATTCTATGCTGACCCCGGCCGAGGCTGGCTTTTTGGGAAGCCCGTTCCCACCGCGCTCACGGCCCGGCTGGCCTACCAGCGGTAATGGGAATTCTCTCGTTCCCTGGTAAAAAAAGGTTGGTTGGATGCGGGATCTACTCCACGAGGAGCGGTACGGACGTAGATGATATCATCACGACCTCTCTTTGCGTACCACTAGGGATGCTTAACGCCACTTCGCCAACTGGCATTACCCGCGCTTTCGTCTCTCTCAGTGTGGTCAGCACTGGGTGTTTCCGAGCAGCAAGGCTTACACCCATTCGCATTAGTTCATCCAAAGTTCCTTACCCTTATGCACGAATTTTGGAATAAGCCGTCTTCCTATCAAGGTTAAGGAGTATTCAGAGTTCTCATATTACCAAAATCATGATATTTATTAAACACCAATCGAGTCCTGGTATTTATTGCCTCCAAATCTTAAACTCTGGATTTTTCCACACCACATCCTCAACTTCACAATATACAACAGCGATTTTATCGGGCAAGTCTAAGTTGCTCGGACTTTTGGGTAGAGTCTTCCAAAGCTTAAGATTTGAGGGGCATGTTTACCAATTATCTAGATCTGAGGGGTAATTACACAATTTTTTTTAGGAAATTTTTTAAAGAAGTCAAAATTTTTAAAAATAATTAGCAAAATTGACCGTTTTGTAAAATTTTTAGTAAAATTGATATATTATTTAAAAAGAGATCGATTTTGCAAAAAATCAGATTTAAAATACACGTGACTAGTAGCCCCATATGTTTAGTTCTCACTACTTAAACCTTAAATATTTCAGCACAAAGTAAACAAGACGATCATTTCAGATTAATCGTAATTAGCGACTACTAGTTACGCGGGAGTACTAGTCTCATGTATTTTGAAAATCAGTATTTCATAAAATCAACCTTTTTTTGATCACTTGGCCAAAAGAAACTGTAAGAGTCAGTTTTGCTAATTATTATTATTATTATTTTATAAAATCGACCTCTTTTTTATCACTTGGCCAAAAGAAATCAATTTTGCTAATTTTTTCATAAAAGAGTTAGTTTTGCTAATTATTATTAATATTATTATTTTATCGCACTTATTATTTTTAAAAATAGTCTCTTTCAAAAAAAAAATTCTCCTTTTGATTATTTTCATTTCAGACCAAGAGCTAACCTAACTCGAGCCCGACGGAATAAAATTCCTCTTCGACTTCTTCCCTCTCAAAACCAGACCCCTCGTTCTGGTTCGGTTCGGTTCGGTTTTAAGCAGGACCGCACATCGAATGGGCCTCTGCTGAAAATAAACCTCGATAAACCTTTTCCAGTCACGACCACCACTCAAACCTTCAGGCTAAAAACTTCGTTGGAGACGGAGATAAGGCGTCGCCGCTGTGATTTGAGAAAAGATGGGTCGCTTTGCTCTTTGATGTCGATCGAATTTAAGAGGAAGAGCTCTATCTGTTCTTCGACTCCAGCGTTGTCTTTCCCCTGTTGAAGGTACAAGCAAGATCGCTCTTTTTCCGTTCTTTTTTTTATTTTTTTTTAATTTTTTGATTCCCCCATTGGTCTTCTCCTTCCATTGGATAGTACAGATTCCCACTTAAAAACCCATCGTAGCCCTGTAAATTTTTCCTCTGTGTTTTTCCTCTTTGTTTTTGGGTCTGCAAACTGAGAAAAAGAGAGAGATAGGAGAAGGGGAAAAGAAAAAAAAATAGTTTATGGATTGCACAGGAAAAGCCTTTCCAAACCCACCCACATAGTTTTATTAAAAACATATTTTGCAGAAATTTTTTTCCTAATTTTGTTGAGACCTTGATATATAAAAGGAACTGCGTTTTTTTTTCTTTTCGGGTGGTTTATTTTTCCGCTGAATTTTCGTTTGAAATTGAGGAGGAGTTGGGAGGCATGGGGAAGCATGGACCTTGCCGCCATTGTGGTGTCACAAGTGAGCTCCTGTTCTTTCTTTCTTAGTTTTTAATTTCATCCTTTTTTTTTCTTTTTTTTTTTGTGTGTGTGTGGGATGTGATTCATGTAAATTTTTACGAGGCCCTGGATCTTTGCTTTACTTTCTTATGGAATATGATAGTGATGTTGTCTTATTGGGTTGGCTATGAAGTTGGTTTCAGCTTTTGTGTGCAAACTGTACTGGGTTATCAGGTTTGGCTTATCTGTTTTATGTTTGGCCTTGGTTTCAGCTTTTATGCTTGGCCTTGGTTTCAGTTGATCCTTTCAGCCCTCGGCCTTGGTTTCAGCTTTTATGCTTTTATGTGTTTTTGTGTGCCTGGGTTGATCAGGTTTGGCTTATCCGTTTGTTCATGGATTCACTTGGACTCGTATACACAGGGTCAGGTTCGAATGTTATTTGTGTGCATGGTTTCAGCCTGATTCATGCTTTATGTGCCTGGATGTCAATTTGTTTTTCATCATGCTCTTGTTAGCATGGTTTCAGCTTGGCCTTTGTTTCAGCTTGGCTCTTCATTCATGCTTGGCCTTTGTTTCAAAACATATAATATATCTCATATCTTAATATCTGTAGTCGACTAATCCCTTTAGTAGTCGACTATAAAACCCTATGTCAAATATTCAGAAACTACTATGTACAGTGTAGTCGACTAATAAGCTTTGTAGTCGATTACTGATATTGTTTCTTGATTTCACAGAGTCTGAATAGACTCAGTCAAGTCAACTACTAAGCTTTGTAGTTAACTACTAAGACAATTTTTCTAACTGTTTTGAATTTGAATTAGTGATCGTTTATGGCCTTTTGCAAACATTAATTTGATGATGAATGTGATACTATGCAATTTGGAGAACCGCAAATGGTAATGTGATATTTTGCTATGATGATGACAGATATATAATGTATGCAACCAAAGTTTATATTAGTAATCAATTGGCGAGGCAATAAATGCAGCCAACATTGCTATTATAAACTTCATAGCGATGCAGATAATGAAGAAAATGGCTTTTTCTGAGCACATTTTCTATAAATTTTGTTAAACTTTGGTTTGATTTCAATTTTGGGTTGTTCGAGTCTTGGTTTCTGTCGAGTTGGTTTTAGCCTTGGTTCAGTTTTGGATATTTTCAGACTTGGTTTGGCCAAAGTTAGTTTGGTTTCATATATTGGGTTTCAGTTGAGGCTTGGCCTTTGGTTGGTCAGCTCTGGTTTTAGTTTGGTTTCAAATGTGTCCTTAGGTTGGCCTTTGGTTTCAGCTCTTGGCCTTTGTTTCAATTTTGTGCATGGTTCAGCCAGCTTTCGGCACCAGTTTCAGCTATTGGTTGGCCTTTAGTAGGACAGCTATGGTTGGTCTTTGGTTTCAGTTGATGCTTGGCCTTTGTTTCAATTCTGTGCAGGTTTTAAACTGCTCTCGGTCTTGGTTTTAGCTCTTGGTTGGCCTTTGGTTTCAGTTGATGCTTGGCCTTTGTTTCAATTTTGTGCATGGTTTCAGCTTGCTCTCGGCCTTTGGTTGGTCAGCTATGGTTGGTCTTTGGTTGGTCAGCTATGGTTGGCCTTTGGTTTCAGTTGATGCTTGGCCTTATTTTCAATTTTGTGCAGGTTTTAAACTTCTCTCGGCCTTGGTTTCAGCTCTTCGTATGCGTATTTTGTTGGTCAGCTATTGTTGGCCTTTGGTTTCATGTGCTAATCTGTTGTTCATCATTTGATTCACTTGTGATCACAAGATAATTGATTTTGTTCATAATTTTCATGTTTATATGCACAACTATGATGGTGGGTGGTAATCTTACCATGGTGATCACAATCAAGTTTTCTTGATTTTTTAGTTTGAACCAAACACTAGAAAATGAGGGAATCTATTCACACATCAATTGTTTTCTTCCTTTTTCAAGTTGAACCAAACTAAGAAAAATGGTGGAAAATACTTTCACCCCATATTTTTTGGCGAAATAAACACAACACTTTTCAGGAAAGTGAAGGAAACACAAGAAAGTGAAGGAAAGTCATTTTTGGAAAGTGAAGGAAACAAACCAAACAGCCCCTAAGTATCCTCTTTTTTATTAATGGTTTTTCTTCAAAATTGCTTCTTTTCTTGCCCTTTTGAAGTTCATGGGCTTTACGCAAAATCCCTTTTTTTTAAAGTTGATTTTGAGAGCTTGATAGATTAATTGTGAGAAATTTGATTTGATGGTTTTTAAGACGCGACCTTTATTTCATTTGCAGTACGAGTGCTAAATAACAATGCTAGACTCTTGATGATTTAATTGTTTTGCTTTAGAATTTATGACACTGGGTAATTTAATTGAAAACTGCGATGCACTCCCTTCTTAAAAATTAGATTTTGTTTTCGATGCTGTAATCTTCCCTGAATCCTGAGTTTCTCACGATCCAGAATTTTGCATTGCTTGTATGCATTTAGCTGTGTAATCCATTTAGTTTCTTCATGACTGAAGTGACCTTGTGATTTATTTGACTAATGTGGTTCATATGTTAAATTGATACTGCATGTTTAGATGAGAAACCTGACATTGCAGCTTGATACTTGTAAAAAGGAAGAACTTTTAGAACCCATTTCAAACTCGTAACTGAGAATGTATCTTTATTGCCCTTCAGAAGCTACTGAAGGATCATTATGGATAGGCTTAGGATTTTTGTTCTTTGCTTCCTACATATTTTCTGCGGTTTATATTATCCTATGCAGAAAAAGTTCCCTCTCTTTCTATTCAGCTCATATCTTAGTTGTTAGTTAAGCAAAAATAATATACATGAAATAGAAAGATCATGTGTTTTGTTATAGTTTTCCTAGGTAGCTTATTTTTACAACATCAACTAACATCATCATTTAATGAATTGAAATTCATCATATTCTTTTGTCCCACAGAACTCGTGACTTAGAAACCACTTGGACGACAAATCAAAAATTTCAAGTTTCAGAGAGGCACTCATGGCCTCATTCTGTTTTCGAGGCATCAGAACCAACCAAGTGTTCCTATACCCATTAGCTCTCTTTTCGAGGAAACGCGGTGCTGTATTTTGCACTGTACAAAGCCCACAGACTGAGATTAAAACACAGTCAGAGAGCCTAAAACCCCAAAAAGAAGCAAAGATTTCTTCTCAAATCGAAACTAGAAAGCGACAAGAGCAGAATGCACATGGATTTGAGGCAGTCATTGGTATCGAGACTCATGTACAGTTATCCACTCTTACCAAGGCCTTTTGCGGCTGCCCTTATCTCTACGGGTCACAACCTAATACTACTATATGTCCTATATGCATGGGTCTTCCGGGGACTCTGCCAGTTGTAAACTCAAAGGTTGTAGAATTTGCGGTGAAATTGGGTCTTGCACTGAACTGCAAACTTTCAATGTCATCGAAGTTTGATAGGAAGCAATACTTCTATCCTGACCTCCCAAAGGGTTATCAAATATCACAGTTTGATATACCGATAGCAAGCGAAGGATTCATCGATTTGGATCTTCCTGTAGAGTTTGGTGGTGGGCATCGAAGATTTGGGATAACCAGAGTTCACATGGAAGAAGATGCAGGAAAGTTGCTTCATTCAGACTCTGGGAGTTACTCGCAGGTTTCTTCCTGTTAATCATTTTTTGATTATGTACAAGTACCCTGGAGTATGACGTAATTACGCGGGTGGCTTTGGAGTCTGCGTATTGAGACGGGTAACCCTGAGATTGTTGATTGTGTCTAAGCAAATAACCTCGAGAAGGAAAAATAAGTAGACCTTGGTGTCATCCGTGTAAGTACAATCAATCTGTAGGTTGTCTGTTTAGATACACAGACTATAGGGTCACCCATGCAATCACATCATACCCCAGGGTACTTAATCCATCATCTTTTGGTCCTTCTATTTTATGTACATCCTTTCATACACACACAAAAACTTTTGTCTGCATTGCAGTATTTCATCATGTGATTTTTTAGCTATATCCCATCATACTGTATACATATAGCTATACATTGCTAATTTTTTATTTGAAATTTCCAATTCTCTTTAGATATGGTACTTTTGTGCTTGTACAGGTTGACCTCAATAGAGCAGGAGTGCCTTTGCTGGAGATTGTTTCTGAGCCTGATATGAGAACAGGACTTGAGGCTGCAGAGTATGCCTCTGAAATACAGAGGCTTGTCAGATATTTGGGGATAAGTAACGGGAACATGCAGGAAGGATCTCTTCGTTGTGATGTGAATGTTTCTGTCCGACCAATTGGGCAGTCAAAATTTGGAACAAAGGTAAAAAAAAAAACCCCACCTTTCTTTGTAAGGTCGCATCGCATACATAGTTTTAGCAGAAGTTTGCTTTCCATAGTAGATATTCACCATGTTTCCTGAATTCAACCTTAGACATCTTTTATGTTCATGTTGCTTTATGTTTCTGATTGTAATGTATTATCTTCTTTTAGAGAGCTGTGTGAGCCAAATTCCAGTGTGGAAGTGGATATTGTTATATCATTTTTTTTATAATTGCATGGCACCTCCAATTTATGTTCACTTGTAGTTTCACATCTTTATTTCTGGATCCTTATCATTAACCTTCACATGGTTTATATGATCATAATATGTAAATGAGTGTAGGTCAGTTTGCATGCTCTATTGCTTGTAAATTGTAATATATTTTATTTTATACTACTTGTGTGATATTATGAATTCACGATACTCATAAAACCTCGTCTCTACTGATGGAATGGGCTTTTCTCATTTTTCCATGTTCTTTGAGGTTTTATTTCTTGTTCTTACATTTGACTCTAAATTGGATCACTATGCTTAAATTATAGCATCACCATTTGGCTTTCTTAGACAGATTATGGTTCGATTTTGCAAACAGTGACATGTTTCTGTGCTGATACTCTGGGTAATAGTTATGGTAGCCTTGTCATAATTATTCTGTTCAACTATTAGCTATCACGACCCAGGCCCGTTGGTGTATGCAAACCGTGGGACCCACCGAGAACAACTCAATGTTGGCTAAAATCCACTGCCAAAATACTAGTACTAGTTGCTCTTTGGGTCTTAGGCTTTTCTCTATTTAAGCAACTAATATTTCTTTACAATAGTCTATGTGGGACTAAAGTGGGGGGTGTCACTGTTGGAAATTCGCGCTAACTACATGCAAAATACCCAACAGAAGACTGTATGTATAATAATACTAAGCATGTAGGGAGCGTGAAAAATAAGCTAGGACCATCCTAATTAAATCTAACATGATCCCTATAAAAAAGAGAGCAACCAAGAGCTTTGAAGGCTAATTAAATCTAACATGATCCCTATAAAAAAGAGAGCAACCAAGAGCTTTGAAGGCTTACTTTCGTAGCGTGATTCGATGGTAGATCGAAACCAAGAGCTTTGAAGGCTTACTTTCGTAGCGTGATTCGATGGTAGATCGAACAACCCCTAGCTCGTTTTCCTTGTTGTAAACCTTCTTGTAGTGGATCTCCAAGTCTTCAAATGAGCTTGATAAAATCGGAGTCTTCTTGAGACACAAGGCAAGATATCCACCTCGGAGTACTATAAAATCCTACTACTTCTTGAGACACCTAGCTCTTTTATTCTCTTATGAAAAAAAACCACTTAGCTAATTTTTCATTAATCTTTCCATAAGAAAGAGAGCTTATATATATAGAGTGAGATATGTCATGACTCATCTTATGAGTTATGCTATGAGTCATCTAAGTGTAATGATTCCTTTCATGAGTCATGCAATGACTCATCTCATGAGTCATGCAAAGAGTCATGAAGAATCAAAATTATGTGCTAAAACCATGTGTCCAAATCATACCACCTTAATGACTCATCTCATGACTCATTAATCAAGGTATAATGAAGTGTGTATTTTATAAATAAAAATACCATATCAATACGGTGTTTTATAAATACAATATTGCGTAACTTTTTCAATCATTAACTAATAAGTCATCATATGACCAGAAAAATCAATGAGTTGACCAAAAAGTCAACCAGTTGACTAAAAGTTAACTTGATGGAAAAAAAATACTAAAATTCATTTCTTAAGCACATAGCATTCTGATTTTACCGATACATATAACTGTTTATGTGTATCCGGTAAAAATCATATATGCGTATCAATCATACGCATAACTCTATAAATTGTATTTTATAGGATTTAAGTACGAGCTTGGTGTGATTCTAGGGCCCAACTTAAGAACTCGGCAGTGGATGATATCCACAAGTACAACAGATGTGCTAGCTACACATGAAGACTATCTGGATATAAGTTGTGATAAATGTCTACAAGATGCTAACACAATTTTATCAGGACTAATCAATGATAATATTGTACAGTCCGGTCTCTTCGTCAAACCATGTCAAACATCAAGCTTAGGGTATGAAAAACTGTCAAACCCTAATAGCTCGATTAGTGTTTGTTGATATTAAACTCATTAACCCATATGATCAAACTGACACTCAGTTTATCTTATTTACCTCGGTCAAGGGTTTCCTGGTTATAGTTATATCAAACAATCTTATGACATCAACCCCCTATACTGGAAGAGACGAATTCCATCTTGGCATCTTAATATCTACTTATGTCTCGGGATACCCTAACAAGAACCATTATGCACAACTCAATGAGAACTGTGATTAAGTAGAAGTCTAAGTACACCTATACTGACATGTAAGATATTACACTTATGCCTCAGGTCAAGAGACTACTTTATACTATATCACTTGAGAAATTCTATTTGACAGTTAAGTATAATTACCAACTAGATGTTCTCAGTGAGTCGTTCAGTCAACTCATTCACTAATGAGTCACTTGTATACTATATCTTGATGTATCATATCAATGATCCAAGAGATGGATCATCATCCTACCAAAGGAGAAATAGAGTATACACTAGTCTTCCCAAAGTGATGAAATCCTATTTCAACACTTCATCGATTAGAAATATTTTAGAATATACGTTTGCGACAAATCAGATCTCTTCATTACGATCATATCCAAAATGTCTGATAGTCTAGTATCATTCTAAGGACTTTATCTATATTAAAATATTAGATAAATACTGACCAAAATAGTATACTATCATTTTGAACAAAAATATTATATTCATATAGGTCCTGTTATAATATACAATTATTGCATGCAGGGCACCTATATCTAACAGTCATAATCATCCCACCTTACAAAGACGACGTCCTCGTCATCACGACATGATAATTGACACATCCCAGTATCACTGTCAGACGATGCAGACTTTAGAGTTGGCTCCTATTGGCTCTGGAGGTGGCTCTCACCGCATACATACGGTGTAGCACTTAGTCCCGTATAGCACTTAGCTCTATATTTTCGGCTAGCAACTGCTCTGATACCGCTTTGTAATGCCCCTGGAGGTACATGAAAATTAGGCATGACCCGTCCGTAAAAAGGAGGATTGACCTGCTCAAATTTTTATGTACACTTCAATATATATGTGTAACAATACTGAAGAGCAAAATAACGCAGTGAAAATATGTACAACACTCAGAATCCTAAGGCTGACAGTAGAGTCCACAGAATACAAGAATAGTAAGAAACTAAGTCTGATAATAACGACGATACACATTAATACATGTTCGATAAGCCCAAAGTACTACATAAGTAAATATGAATTAATTCCTACTATGATTTCCTCGGAGCTAATCTTCTATGTTGGGGTTTGTAATCCCCTTGCCCTCGCCAATTGTATGACCTGCGAATGGATACAAAAACAATAAGGGTGAGCCTAAGGCTCAATAGGCAACCATAAAAATATCAGGTACATCATAAGGGGATGAATGAAAGGAATAATCATAGATTTTTGAACTTAAATGAAGAAATCTCAACATTAAATTATCATGATTATATCATGATCATTGATCGAAACTCCAAACTCCCTAATCATGGGATATTCAATAAACCGCACATATGCCTTAATACACCCACATGTGAGCGTCCTCACATAGGGTATTGTCCCCACATGGACCCGTTACTATTACCACCCACCGGCGAAGCTTACTTCACACAGAGCATAATCCATGAATATATATTATCAATGATCAACAAAGAAAAGAATACTATTATTCTCAAGAGTCGAATCATCGAAGCAAGTCGAGTTGCTACAATATAATAATTCAAAGGATGTCAAAGGTATAAAGCTGAAACAAACAACATTAGGATAGCAATAGTTAAGCAATCAACAAAGAGCCCACGCATAAAGTGAATCAAATAGGAATATTACGATAGTGATAAGATATACAACTTAGCACAGAGAAATTAACTCGCATGAACTTCAAGAAAATAATCAATCGGACTCTCAAAGAATTGCGAGGAGATAATGAAAGGTTACCTACCGATTGTGCTGAGTTCCTCTTGACCAACAAATGAATCCAAGATTCTCTGTCCTATATACACATACATGTATCCATATAAGATTCTAAATAACTATGTCTTTTATTATTATTATTATTTTTAACTTATAACTCATATCATGGTATATGCTACACTCTAGATGGTTACATCTAATACCTATAATATGCACAGCAACACAAGTAGTGTACATGTAGCTGTTTGAGATGAATGGATAGTAGAACAATCAATATCAAAAATGCATGAAACTAGTGCCATGTGACTCTAATATGAGTTTACTTTCGGAATATATAAAATTTACATCAATGCATGGTATATAGTGAGAGTTATGCTCTCAGCAAACTACACTTATTAAGACTGCAACAGAATGAAATAGATGTTGCTATCTGGAATGATTAATTCCTTTCGGGTACTTAACATTTTATAAATGAGCTCATATTTGGCAATTGGCATACAAGTGATATGATAGATTAGCTTCCAATTCCCATGAGTTTCATCAAGTTATCATTTTTATAATGCAAGTTACATACATAATAACACAAGGGGGGCAAACTAGAATTGCCAGTACATATGCAATCTATTAAAACTACGATTAGATTAATCAAATATTATCCAAATTAATTCAAACTTGAGCCAACAGAAAGATGATTGAGTCTAGTTCTGGAAACAGAAAGACTTTCATGCATGCATGATATATATTGAGAGTTATGCTTTCTACAATGAATATAACTCAGGCAAACTATTTCAGACACATGCATTGAGTTTAATCACAGTTTCGAACTAGTAAATGATCTTAGAATTAAACAAAAGAGGTCTCAAATGAAAGCTACAGAAATGTAGTTTCTAAAACAGGAAGAATATCTGCATTTGGATATAAACAGAGAAA